TGTTAGCTAAAATTAAAGCTTGTGGGCTCAAAGGCAAATTATTGACTTGATTAGGAAGTAGAGACAGTCAGGAGGAATACTGCTTATCTGTTTTTAATATTATTAATGATTAGATCATCCAATAGAAAGCCATATATTTACTTTTACCAGTGGCATAAAGATTGATGGCATTGGCAGGCAGTGTAAACTGCTTTGTTCGAAAATATATAGGCACAGGAGTAGGTCATTCAATGTCTTGAGACCGCTCTGCAATTTGATAAGTTCATCCTGAACTTCAACCTCAATGCCACTTTCCCACATCACTTTCATATCCCTTGATATTTTTATATCAAGATATCTATTGTTCTCTCTGTCATGACCATGCTCAATGACTGAGCCGCCACAACCCTCTGGGATAGAAAATTCCAAAGATTCATCACCTTCAATTTCTCTTCATCTCAGTCCTAAGCTTATCTCTTATCTTCCCCTTATCTTGAGACCGCAACCCCTTGTCCTGCAGCCCACAGACATAGAAAACATTATCTCTGCATGCTGCCTGTCCAGCCTTGTCAGAACCTTATACATTTCAATTAGATCCCCTTTCATTATTCTAAACCTGAGAGATTATAGATTATTCCTGCCATCCCAGGAATCAGTCTAGTGAATCATATTTCCCTCCATGGCAAGTATATCCTCCCTTAGATAAGCAGAACAAAAGTGCACACATACTCTAAGTGTGGTCTCACCAATGTTTTAAAATTTTTTTCTGAATCCAGATGATGGTGATTCTGGTGATTTAATTACCATAGTGGTCAGTCACTGAACATATTCACACATATTTTACCAAAGGCACACTAGTGTATTGCACAAAAGAAAACAAAGAAAAACTATATGTAGAACAATTTAGAAACATCTTAACATACATAGCCAAAAGAAAGATTCAGTCCTTTTCCCAGCAATTTCCTTTACAGACACTCAATCCAATGAAGTACTATCTCTCCTATCTTAACTTTTTAATTTTTCTTAAACTTTTTACTTAATTGATAAGATTGTAAGAATTTCCTTTAGCAACTTTCTGCACATTCATCAAATGTGGTTCTCTCCAATTCTTTCTCTCCCTGAGATACAGAGACACTGGTTACTTCTCTGGCTTTTCTTAACTGAATCTCTGGCTGCTTAAACTGCTAAAATAGTTTTAAGACTTTTTTCCAGTTTTTAAAGTCTGGACTAAACTGCCTTCTGCTGGTATAAAACTATTCTTCCCACCTGAAACCTGACCATGGCTCCTAGCCATCTATTTGTGTACAGGCCATAAATATTAAACATTGTAAACATTCAACAATTAGTTTCACAGGTAGCTAATTGAATCATTTAACTTCACTAACATGCCATTTTTGGGATAATTGTCTGAACTCACTATGAAACAAATGGCATTCTGACCTCTTAAAAAAAAACAAGTCAGCTTCATAGAGCTAAAATCAAAATTCATTTTCCTCTAGTACCCAGATTCTAAAATAATAATACACTATAAACCATTATCACAAGTTGCAGCAGGACACCTTTATTCCTACAGTCAAATAATGTTGCAATGTAACTTTTCTTTCTAATTACTTGTTGTATCTGCATGTTGGATTTTAATAATTTATGAACAAGGACACCCAGGTCCTTTTGCACATTAATATTTCCATTCAAAAAATACTTTGGATATCTGATTTTCATAAAAAGTGGATAATTTCACATATGTGTACATTGCATTATCTGCTATGTTCTTGCCCACTCATTCAGCCTTCACTATTTAGTTTAAAGCCCTCTCCATTGATGACTCACTGGAAATCTGGTTTCAGCACAGTCCAGATCCCAGGTTATTCAGATACCATGGGACATATTCGTCTTTCCCAGTGCTGTATAATAGAAACCCTTATTTACCATATGTTAATTTGCTGTGGTTTAGTTAGCAATCCAGAGATTATTACCGTTTGAGATTATGCGTCTTAATTTAGACCTTGTTCTCTTAATGGTATTGGTACCTACGTGGACCACAGCAATTGGTCATTCCTCCTCACACTCCAAGGTATTCTTCTGCTGACAGAAAAGTCCTGATCTCAGCTCTTGGCAATACTCATCTAAAATAGTTGAAGGAATGTCTGAAATCTAATAGAATGAGGGAACAGTTGATGGCTAAAGTATATTAATTAAAAGCTAATTGGGCTTGAATTGGTTGCATAAACATAGAAAGCTCGTAATCAGTGGGAAGCGAATTTTGTGTAGGGTGCTAACTAAAATAAAGCTCTCACATAAAAGTGTGGACATTAACTTCATTTAAATACAATTACCTTTTGGAGTATAACAGGCAACACAGCTGTCTGGACCTCCATCCTTATCTACAAAGAATTGTGCGCATTGCCCCATAACATTGTTGTTAACTCCCCCTGTTGGAATAGCTTTCTGCATCGTGGTAACTTGGTCCATTTGCTCATACACCTTGCTGCCCCTGACTCTAGCCTAGGACCACAGCGATGCCATGAGCTCACACATTCTGCAGCTATCACAAATTCCCTGCTCTGCTAACTTTGTGACACAATTAATTAATTATTTTATTGGTTACATTGTGATTAATATCTTTAGTCCTACCTGTGCTTAAATTCCTTTTCTTTCAATAAATGTTCTACTCAACCTGATTGAGATTCCAGAGTTAAAATAATGGGAAGTAGGTATGAAAAGTACAGCAAGTACTAGAGAAAACTAGTAGAATGTTGTCACTTACCATGAGGGGAATTGAACACAAAGTTGGGGGTTGAGTTTCAGTTATGCAGAGTATTGTTGAAATCGCATCTAGAGTACTATGTACAGTGTTGGGCAGATTATTTGGGGAATTATGTAAATGTGTTGCAAGCAGTTCAGGGAATCTTTATCAGACTAGTATCTGGAATGGATATGTGCCCTTATGAAGAAAGTTTGGGCAGGCTAAGCTGTATCCACTGGAGTTTAGATTAACACAAGGTTACTTTATTGAAACATAATGTCCTGATCAATCTTAATAGGATGGATATGGAGATGATGTTTACTCTTATTGGAGAATCTAGAACTAGAAATCAATGTTTAATATCAGGGGTAACCCATCTAAAACAGAGATAAAATAAAATATATTCTCTCAGAAGGTTGAGAGTCTTTAGAACTTCCTTCCTGAAATGGTGGTGGAAACAGACTCCATGAATATTTTTAAGGAAAAGTTAGATAAATTTTTGTTAAGCGTAAAGAGTGAAAGATTTTCAGAGGTAGGCAGGAATGTGAATTTTGGGTAATACACAGATGAGTAAATATTTATTTAATGGCGCATCAGGCTCGAGGGGCTGAATGGCTGCTCCTAATTTGTATGTTCATGTGTAGCGTACAAATATAGGAACATACTTGTATATTCATATATTTAGCTTCCAGTACATGCAAGTGTGCCACACTGCAAATTCAGATGACAACTCTGAATTGGTTGTCTGTGTAACTGTTTGCATATTCTTGATTATTCAGCAAATGCTGTCCAATTGCAGAATCAAATCTAATGTTAAACACTGTTTTGTCTTTTTCCAAGTGCATTCTCATTGGGCTGATGCAAACCGCCAAAGGGATATTCTGTTTGGTGTGATCCACCAGTCTTTGGGACAAATCACCTGCATATCTGGCATCCCACCTGCACTGAAATTCATATACCATATTACTCATTTGTGTGTTAGGCAGAACATCTTTTTGGCAATGATGGCAACATTCTGTTAGCGGCGAACACCACTCACATTGCTACTACTTTGTCCCACAATTGAATGAGCATCAATGTGAGTTAACATTGATAATATGGTGACTAACTTATGCCAAGACCTACACTGCACTTGGCTTGAACTGTACAAATTTCTTTCAGTTTTTTGATTTGATCTGTTGATGCCACTATATTGCTTCAGTAGAAGATTGCACCATAAACCCACTTAAGCAGAAATGGTTTGGCAACACAATTAATGACGCCACTAAACCTGTAATAAATTTCTTTGCCCATGTACCATCTGAAAGCAAGGAATTTATCCTTGCATGTGATTTCAGTTTTGGTGTTTCTTGACCTCACATCAAACAAGAAGAAATATTTTCTGAGTTAAGACCCCTCCGCTTCCAGCTATTCTACCACAAACCAGTGTCCACTAAAAATGTGAATCCTTGAGGACACACTTGGCTGATTGAATGTGCATATATAATAACTTTTCTGATTTTTATATGCAACCTTGGTGTTTGGCAGCATTGTGAAGCCTGAAAGCCAGCATGGACATATAAATCAGCTATCCCATCCCTTCAAGAACTGGAATAGTCATCCTTAGTTGTGTGACTGCATCTGCAAAATGCACGTCATCCTTAGATATTGCATCCATTGGACCTGCTACTCAGAATGACCAGACAGCCCTTCTCAAAAGCAAGATAACAAAACATTTGCTGCACTTGTGAAGAGCAATGAGTTACCAGGTGATATTCACAGCTCACTACATTTGTGCATGGACAGGCTGTCCAACACTCTCAAATGTGATGTCCCTTTCTACCCTTTCTTATCTATGAAGCATTTCTTCACCCTACTCCCTACAGAAAATTGTTAAATTCTCAAAATCCCACTTCAATGCCACTCTCTTAAAGAATTTTCAATCTGAGACTGTTTGAGTTTCTCTGCCAAGTTTTCTAATGGACATGGAGACAGGGTAGAATCAGGTATAGATCAGCCATAAATGAATGATCGAACACAAGTGAGGGGCTGAATGGCCTCCTCCAGTTCTCTGAATAGTCTCCCATCTGTAGCACGTTTCTATATGATGTGAGTCTATATCTCAGTTTTAATTTGTTCCTTGTTGATTTGATTTCTTGTACAGCCCTGTGTAAATGAAGAAGTGATTGATTCTGGTTGTTAATTCCTGTCCCCACCCCCACTCCCCTGGTCCCTGCACTCTACTTTCAGGGATTTAAACATCTTGCCTTTAATCAGTTCTTTTTTTTCCCTTTGGCAGATGCTTCTGGTTGTTTGTGCTGTGCCTCTTCTCTCCAGCTGGAGCAAACTTCACTGAGCTGACTGGGATGTTTGGACAGATTCAGTCTCCCAACTACCCAGAAGGTTATCCGAGTGATTTAGACTTAACTTGGAATATCACAGTTCCCACAGGATTCCGAATCAAACTCTACTTCATGCATTTTGATCTGGAGCCTTCCTATCTCTGCGAATATGATTATGTGAAGGTGAGATAGAAACACACTCTATTACCAGACCAGTTGATATTCTATATATTCCTCTGTCAGTGTCTCAGTTGACAATGCAAATTATATAAATGCCTTTGGACACTGAGAGGAAAACTTTAAGCTATCAAATGTTGCTTCACACAAAAAATGCAAAGTTCAGAAATAATCAGCCACTTTAACGCACAAACATATTCACTCAGTTCTTGACACAAACATATGCCCAATGGAGAATCCAAAATACTTTTGAAAAGGACGTGAAGAATAACTAATAGGGTTAAGGATAAGATCGAAGAGGATACAAGGAACATTGTAACCAGTGGAGTGCTACAGCAATCATCACTGGCGCCAAATTGCTTACAATACATATTAATGCCTTGGCTGATGGAAATGAATTTACTATCGCAAAGTTTGTAGATGACACAAAAGTAGGTGGGAAAGAAAGTGCTGAGGATTTCAAAGAGTTTGCAAAGAAATATACACAGGTTAAGTGAGTGGACAAAAACTTGGCAGTTGAAATATAATATGGGAAGATGTGAGCTTATGCACATTGGCAGCAAGAATAGAAGAGCTGAATATTACTTAAATGGAGAAAAAAAACTACAGAAAGCAACAGCATAAAGGGATATGGGGTCCACTTGCTAACATACAAGTTGAGTTGGTAATAGGGAAGGCATTTGAAATGTTGGCCTTTATTTCAAAGCGATTGGAGTAGAAAAAGTAGGGAAGTTAGATCACACCTAGAATACTGTGAGCAGCTTTGGTCCCCCTATTTAAGAAAAGATATATTGACATTAGAGGGATTCCAGAGAAGGTTCACTAAATTAATCCCAGCTTTGGCCTAATGGCCTGCTTCTGCTCCTATGTCTTACGGTCATATGGTCTTAGTTGTTTGTGATCTTTACCCATACTGATTCTACATATTGATATTCGGAACCCAAATCATTTGTGACCACGAGATAACACAGTGTGGAGCTAGAGGAACTCAGCAGGCCAGGC